TTTGTTAATATCGAACTTAAATTAAGAATTCTGAATTGATAAATCTGTTAATGATTTGTTAATATCGAACTTAAATTAAGAATTCTGAATTGATAAATCTGTTAATGATTTGTTAATATCGAACTTAAATTAACAATTTTGCTAATAAAATGAGAATTTAAATTAAATGAAATGTATAACAGAATATTTTAGAATTAAAATGAATCAATAATGTTGCTTGGTTAGTCACCATGAATTGATGATAATATTTGAATTTATCAGCAATGTATGATCATCTTAATGATTACCTTCCGTTTTCCGGCTTCTTCATCCAAATTGAATCGATTAATATTATTATAAAGATCACTACCACCAGCTGCTAAATGTCGTCCGAGCAATGTTGCATGTGTCGTATACACTAAAGCAACGTCAAGATTCCAAAGTTTTGCATTGATCAATCCAACACCTTAAAATTAGGTTATGTCGATAGGTTAAAGAGTAGAGCAGAATGCTTCATGTTACTAATGTATTTAGCAGGATATCGGCTTCCGGAAATAAAGTTCGTAATGTAAAATTTGATGAGATCATACCTGATATTTCTGTAATTTGTCGAACAAGTATGTTTAAATGAATGCTGATTCTATTGCATAGAAATATCGAGCAAAAAAAAGAAAAGTGAGAATCCTTACTAAAAAAGTAGGAAGTTTTCTGGAATTTTCACTAAAATCGAAAAATATTAGTGTTTGTCAGGATTCAGGATCAGGTCATTTTTTTTTTTTTATTAGGATCAAGCTTCATCAAGATTAAAATTGATAAATCATCCGTATTGTGATTCTAATTCCGGATATCGAACATCTCATAGTAAAGTTAATAATCAATCGCTATCTCAGCTATATGCAAGAAATAATTATCCTAGTGAATGTAAGAGTAAGGAAATACATACTAGCCTGCCATTCATGGAAATGTGCAACGACCAAACTATGATAACCGGAATTCTTGTATGAATCCAGAAAATGTTTCAAGAACATGGCAATCATGAAACCAAGGATGACTGCATCGTTTGATTCAATATCCTCATATGGTACTCCAATATGACATCTAAAATTATAATGAAATTATAGCTAATTAATACATTAACAGGAATATTTATATTTAATCAATTAATGGAAAATGGAAAACATTGTTTAATATGTAAAAAAATGAATTTCGATTAAAACGTAAGAAGTTTGCATAAGCTGAAAAAAAAAATTTATTCATTTCGATGCATTATTGAATCTAATGCAAATCTTCCAGTAGCTTAGCAAAGTTTCACTGCTAATCGTTTGATCACTAATTTGCAAAGTTTTGTCACCAATCGTTTGATCATTAATTGCAAAGTTTT